CGCTATGACTATACCAGAGCTCATTTTAAACCTGGCAGGGTGACAAAACTAACCAATCCCAACATCAGAGTTCTATACACCTTATTTGCATTGTCCCACCCAGTAATCTAGTGGGAGTTAAAAGACTATGGCTAGAAAAGCCATACCAAGTAATTCACTGCACCACAATAGCCCAGCCCAGAGAAGTACTGAATGTGCTAAGGAGTGTACTTATTAACCTTATAGAAGAGGCTTGGACTTTATTTCTTATCTACTTACAAGGAACATCTCCAAATCTAGGGCAAGACAGCCCTGTGTTATAAGACAAATGAATTTCCAAGTGATTTGAGGGGACTGGGTTACATGAGCCAGCAAAAGGTTGGAGACCGGAGCATGCCTGTGACATTATGGGGGATGCTTGTCAAGTGGCAGGGCAGCCAACTGGAAAATTCTTGGTCCTGAGTCTGGGCAGTGAGGAGGCTTTAGGAAACATTGTCCCCGCCCATGTCGGCATCACCTTCCTCAAGCTGCCTCAGACCAGCTTCCTGACACGAAGCAAGAAGGGCCGCCCATCTCATATTCACAGCTGTGTGGCTGGCCAAGCCTCAGCAATTATGAGGTCAAATGCTTTGTGGGGGAGACATTCTTCACAGATCATGATATTTTCTCATTTCAAGTATGAGTTAGGCTCTCTCTGGTATCCTCACAATTCTGATTGTCCTCTTTGTTTGCTCTTCCCACCCCTTGTCCCAAACATGCTTCTTGGGGTGGGGGGAAGGCAGTGATTGCAGTCATTAGTGTAGGAGTCTGAAAAGCCTTGGCCACGTGGCACATGTTTTATTCGTCAGCAGTAGCCTGAGCAGACCTCCCTGAGCTGGACTGCGTGGGAGCACTGACCCCTTCCTTTCACACCCTTGCTCCATCACTGACAGCACCTGTCCCTTCTCCTCCTTAACCCCCTCTCCAAAAAAAAAAAAAGAAAAAAAACTACTAAACCCACTGCCATCAAGCCAATTCCAACTTATAGCTATCTCCATTGCGTTTCTAAGGTTGTATATCATTATGGAAATAGATTCCCTCATTTTCCTTCCAAGGATTTGAACCACTGGCCTTCTGGTTATCAGCCAAATGCCTTACCCACTATGCTACCAGAGCTCCTTCCCCATGCCCCTCCTTTCTCACCTTAGAGCTACCTTACAGCCAAATGTTTGTCCTCACAACCAAAAACAATTCTAATTGACTTTTTTTAAAGGATTATTATTAACTATATTCAATCTTATTAGTAAAATTATCAAATACAGTATAGTTCTTTTTTTTAAATTTTTTAAATTGTGATTTCAGTGAAAGTTTAACAGAGCAAATTCACTTTCCATACAGCAGTTCACATACGCTTTGTCTCATGACATTGACTACAATTTACCCCAATGCAACAGCTCTCCTTCCACTTCCTCCCAATAGTTACCTCTTCCCTGTGTCCATCCCTCCATGTACTCCTGCTCCCTGAGCTATCTCCCTGTACATAAACAGCCCTTCTTTCTCCCATGATTGTTCTCTCCAAGGAGTGTATCTACCTCAGGTAAATGTTCAACTCATATGCCTGTCTTTTGTTTGACTGGAAGCCACAGGTATGGGTTCAATTCCAGATCTGAAGGGCAGCTAGAGGCCATAGTCTCAGTGGTTCTACCAGGCTCTGTCAGACCAGCAAACCTAGTCCCCCCGCCTTTTTTTTCCCAAAATGATTTTGAGTTTTGTTCCACATTGTTCTCCCTCTCTATCCAGGATCTCCCACATAGATCCCCCTCCAAGTGGTTGACAGTGGTAGCCGGGCACCATCTAGTTCTTCTGATCTCATGATCGTATATGCTAAGGATTGCATGGTGTACCAGTTGCTTGGATTAATTGTTTCCATGAATCTTTGGTTTTCTTCATTCTTCTTTGCTCTGGATGAGGAGAAACCCATCGTTGCATCTAGATGGCTACTTGCAAACTTTTAAGATCTCAGTCGCTACTTGCCAAAGTAGGAGGTGGAACAATGTTTTGTGTAGTATGGTGTGCCAGTTGAGCCTAATGTCCCTTGCTACTATGGTCCTGGCCCACAGGTTTGACTACTTTCTCCCTCTGGGTAACTGGGTGTGGTCAAGAAGTGACTACAATTTGTCAGCTCTACTATACACTTGGGAATTGTTACAAAACATACAAATACACTTGTAGAACCACTGTCTGCCAATCCTATACATGGTCTTGGGTACACGCTCACCTGCATAGACATATCTAATAGTTCAGCCTGTAATCAACTTGATTTTGTAGCTGTTCTGAGAATATTTTAAGTCTCCTGAGGAAAACAGGAGATAAAAAACCAAGTTTGGAAACCCTGAGATCGACGTTCCTTTTAAAACAGCCCCATTTAAAACTACACTCAGACAACTCAAAGTCAAAATCACCTGACTTTCAAACAGCAAACAGCCTTTCTCAGGCAGCAAGGCAGTAGTTGGTGACCCATTTCAGCCAACTGAGTTTTACTGAACTGATGACTAGGACCTGTTGGCACGTTACAGTTTTACTTGGCCAGGTAGGGAAGTCAGGGGTCTGCAGAGAAGGTTCCCATAAGGAAATCTCATCCACATCTGACACCAGCCTGAGGGAGGCATTTAGCAGCAATAAAGGATTACAAATGATCCCCAAGAACTAACTAGCCAAAATTCCACATCCCCTGAACAGTCAAACCTTTCTTACTGTCTGAGCAATCCACTTTTCTTTTCAAATTGTGTTGAAGATATATATACAATAAAATCTATGCCAATCTGACAAGTTGTACACATACAATTCAGTAACACTACTTACATTCTTCAAGTTGTGCAGCCACTCCTGGGATCCTTTTCCAAATTATTCTACCACTATTAACATAAACTCAATATCCCCTAAGCAAAAACTCTTTACCCCTTCCCTCCCACCATGGTAACCACTAATAACTTTTGCTTTTTATGTATTTGCGTATTTCATATAACCATAAAACCAAACTCACTGCTGTCGAGTCAATTCGACTCATACCGATCCCTCCTTGGGTTTCCGAGGCAGTATCTCTACAGAAGTAGATTGCCCAATCTTCCTTCCGAGGAGTGGCTGGTGGGTTTGAACCGCCAGACTTATGGTTAGCAGTCAAATGCCTTAGGCACTACACCATCAGAGCCCATATTTCATATACATGAAATAATACAGTATTTGTCCTTTTGAGATTGACATTTTGCTCAACATATTTTCAAGGTTCATCCATGTTGCCAGCCCCTTGTATCTGAAGAAAACACTACATTTATGGGTTCATGTCCCAGTGTTTTTTCCAGTAGATGCAAGAGGAAAGAACACCAGTTTTCTGAAAAACCCTAAACAGTAGTCTTGAAACAGAATCTTGAACCCAGATATTGAACTTTACAAATCTATATGATGATGTAATTCTAGTTAAACAGAATATTGACAAACAAGAGAAAATGCATCCCCACCCCCATCTCCTACCACCAGGTAAATGACTACCAGCACATAGGATTTCTCCTGACTGGGCATCAGTATCTCATTCAGACTGCTGGAAGAGGGCAGAGTCCTAACAACCTCAGAAGGGTACAGGTTGGGAGTTGTACCAGAAAAAGTCTACTGGTGGCAAAACCCAGGGAAGCAGGCTGGGAAGAGAGTCTGGGTGCTAGGACCCAGGCTGAAGGTAGGCTATGAAGACAGTGGAGAACTCCACCCCTGGCTAGGAAATCATTGATGGATGAGGCTCCCAGGCTGGAAAACACCATTACCTGTGGATATGCAAGGGTGTGTGGGTCCTCCCTACTGGTATTGTAGCACCTGCTGAGAGTGATGGTAAAATGCAGCTGAAGCAGTGGACATATGGGGCCCTGGGGAGCTCACTTCACATCAGAGAGGGAGGTAGAGTGCTGGGCCCAGGGGCTGTGTTCCCAAGAGCACAAAGTTGAGATCTTTCAGAGCATTGCAGAAGTGTCTGCTCAGACCCCAGGGAATTCTATGGAAATTGAGCAGGACTGACAACTTCAGAAACTTAATTATCCATGCTCTAGTGAATCTGCCCTCTACCCTGGTCAGTTTGCTCAGAAGGAAAAGAAAAGAACAAAGGCTCTCTTCTATTCCCACCCCAACCTCTCTGGGCCAAGAACTGCCTTCTTGCTCAGCTTCCTCCAGGCCAAGGATCATGAGATTTTGCCCTGAGGACCCATTTTATTCAGCTGTTCCCACTTTGCCATTATTTGGGAATTTTTCCCCAATAGAGATTTCTTGTTACATCATGGCTTGTTAAACTTATTACAGAAAATCATAGAGTGTTATGGAAGAAAGAGTCCAACAGTCCTTAGCAAATTCCTAATCTCAGCTGAGACCCAGGGAAGGGAAGGGAATGGATTTGGCCAAGGTTAAAGTTCTCAGTGCATTTCTCTATTTCTCCTTTCTTTTATTATGGCTCTTACCACATAATGCCACAATGTTGCCATTCTCTCCAGGGCCAGGGTTCACGAAATTTTCCCTAAACCCATTGTACTCATTATTTTCTGCTCCCACTTTAACATTATCATGGGATTGCCCCCCACACTCCAATAAAATCCGTTGTTATATTGTGGCATGTTGAACTTGCTACAGAAAACAACCAAGTCATCTCCAAATATCCTAATGCCCATCACAAAGCCTAGTCCCCAGAAAGTACTCAACAAATGTTTCTTAACTAATGACAGAGCTGATGACAGTGAGAGCTTGGCTGTCTATACACTTAAAGGGGGGTTACCTGTCTTGTCATTGGCACATTTTGAATACAAAAGGCTTAGATGTTAAAGCATGTCTTTTAAACATTAAAAACTATTTGTTGGCTAAAAGGTGTAATTCCATTTGTGTTTCTTTATGAAGGAATTTAACCAGTTAACTCCTCCCTTTGCACGTTCCTAGGACTCAGGTGTCACTGATAGCATCTTGGAGGATGCAACTGAATAGACAAGGAACCCTAAGGCCAGGTGGAATAGACTCACCTATGACATTCCGTATGTCATCTTCTTCTTCGGGGCTCAGGGTGGGGCTGGAAGGGGTTGTGCCCTGCCCAGCAGTAGCATCATTCCCTGGCGAATCTGTCCTGACTGTGGTGGGAGGCACTGGGGCCACCTGGGTACCTTCCATAAATGTCTCCCCAGGAGTCACTGGCAGAGAAGCTGAAGTCAGAGGTTGCTGGGTAGCTGTCTGTGCCACTGTGGTAGCTGGCCCCTGAGTAGAAGGTGTAAGGACTATCTCCTCCATGGGATCTGGAAACACAGAGGTGGTTTGGGGTGTTGTGGAGAGTTGTTCAACCAAGGCAGAGAGAGTAGGGTCAGTGATGCTGGGCATGGTGGTTGTGGGCTGTGGCAGTGTTGAGGACATGGGTGTGGTCTGAGTGCTCTGGTCAGTTGTCACAGCAGTGCTGGGATGGGTGGTTGCTGGCTTCCGGGTGGTGCTGCTCAGCAGGTCGTTATGTCTCAGGAGCTGGTCTTCAATCAGCAGATCCATTCCATTGTCACCACTGAAAAACTCATCATCTGTGAAACAAACACAAGGTTTGTTTGTAGCACAGAGACAGAAGCAACCTTCAGATAACCAAAAGCATGTGGTACATGGCACATTAATAAGAGCATTTCTTTTTTTCAACATGACACCCTGATTTATAGACAGGATATTAGAACGAAAGAGGCTAGAAACAGAAGAAGGTGAGAAGGAGGATGAATAGAAGGAAACTATTTCCTGAAGGTTAACTGTGGATAGACTGCTGCTGTATTTAACCCAGGACTCAGGTACCATTGGTAGCATCTTAGAGGATGCAGAGTTATGGGCTGTAAAACTTGATGGCTGGGAGGAAGTTGGTCATCCATTCATTCAACAGATATTTGTGGAGCGTGCAAAACAACAGTGCATGAAACAAAAATCTCTGCCCTTATAGTCTCATGAGGGAGACACTAAACAATAAATAGATATATAGTATGGTTGAAGGTGCTATGGAGAAAAAAAAAAGTAGCATAGGGTAAGAAGGGTCCAGAGAAATCAGGAGGAAGGGGAACTTGGGTGGTCAGGATGGCACTCACTGAGATGAAGAGATAAGAGTAGAGGCTTAAAGAAGGTGAGAGAGTTAGCTAAGTGGATACCTGGGGGAAAGTGGAGAGGAAGAACACAGGAAAAGCAAGTGTTAAGGAAACAAGATAAAGATGATAAGGGAAGAGATGATCCATTTCTTGTGGAGATAGAAAAGGAAGTGGATAAAAGGAGGTCTTGGACTGGATGGATGCCCAGGTTCTTAGAAGAGAAGGAAGAGGTAGGAGACCACTGTGTGGCCCTGAGTAAGTAGTTCCCCCTCCAAGCCTTAGTTTCTATATCTGCAAATGAGGGGACTAAAGCAGAGGACACTGAAAACCCTTTCAGCTCAGTTGTTCTCTGCCATGTGATCTTCTACAAGCACAGAGAAGTTAATTTTCCTGAGCAAGTTGTGAGGAAATGCAACAAGAACTCTGGATAACTTGTAGCTTTGCACAGAGTCAGGTGACTGCACTGGCTCTGAAGGGCCACAGTAGTTGATGCATTGCAGAAGAGGGTGTGGCTTAGGGCCACAGTAGTTGATGCATTGCAGAAGAGGGTGTGGCTTACAGCAAAGGCATCTGCACAGACTCTTGCTCAAATGACGACACTCTCCCTGCCCTGTTTCCAGGGTGGCCCTGCTGATCCCAACTCACGCTGTTCTTCAATGTCGTTCTCCTCCTCAGGGTCCTTGGCTTTGTAGTAGGTAATGCCCCGGATGACGGTGGGCTTGGAGGCTGGCCGGCCCCTCAGGTGGACCTGCCTCTGCAGTGGCCGCTGTGGCTTTACTACCTCCGGAGGGGCCAGGGGTCGTGTCTGCAGGAGCTCGATGGAGTTGATCTGCTGGGACACGGTTTCTTCCTGCAGAAATCGCTCCTCATACTGCTCCCAGAGGGGACACAATGGAAGGACATGTCATTGCTCACAGAAGGTGTGACCAAGCAGGGAAATATTGGAGCCAAAACCATTATAAATAACAGCAGCTAAACAATTTACAAAGGAGCCCTGATGGTGCAATGTTAAATCACTCGGCTACTAACCAAGCAGTTGACACATTAAACCCACCCAGTGGCTCTGTGGGAGAAAGACCTGGCAATCTGCTTCCATAAAGATTAAAGCCAAGAAAACCCTATGGGGCAGTTTTAGTCTGTCATATGGGGTTGCTATGAGTCAGGATTGACTACACAGCACCCATCAACAACTCATGTAATTTCTCTGTGCCTCAGTTTCCTAATCTGTAAATGTTATTGTTGTTGTTATGTGCCGTTGAGTCGGACCCGACTCATAGTGACCCCTCCTTGGGTTTCCGAGACAATATCACTATGGAAGTAGATTGCCCAACCGTCCTTCTGAGGAGTGGCTGGTGGGTTTGAACCGCCAGCCTTCTGGTTAGCAGTCAAGTGCCTTAGCCACTATGCTACCAGAGCTCCCAATCTGTAAATAGGACTGATAAGAAGAATAAATATAGCCATCACATGTAAAGCACTTAGAACACTGCCCGGCTCTTAGGAAATGCTCAATGAATGTTTGGTTTCTATCCCAGCCTACCTTTCACAGGCATTATTTAAGGATACTGTCATCTCTGAATATTGTGAGAAACTAAAAGGGCACAGACAACCTCATGCTCATCTTTGATTCTCCTGGGTTGATCCTCTTTCATATTTGTTAACTTGAATTTCTTAATGTGGTAGTTATGTTTGTGTGTCAACTTGGCTGGGCCTGGTTGAGTGGCTGGGCAGCTGGTGGTAGTTCTTCCCCATGATGAGATTGGCAATCAACTCCATGGTAGGATCTACCACAAACAGCTGAGTAGCTGCCTTTTGCGTGTGGTCTGCTTCCTGTATATAAGGAGAAGCCTTGGGAATGGTCTTCAGCCCATGGCACGCTTGGACCCTGTATATAGCCGTGTCATCACTCACCAGCGTGCTATGATCTGCCGACCTTGGGGCTTACAATGGACTTAAGTTAATGGCCTGCCATGTGGTTTGGTAACATCGGGACTGTGCCTTTTTACTTGTCAGCCTTAGGGCTTCTCAGCCTCAGTAGCCAGCAGCTGTCTGAGTGAAGAAATGCCTCTAGCTCCAGTGGGCCGGGAGCAGAAGGCAGAGCTGGACCCCAAGGTTGAGGATCTTTCACCCAGCCCCTAGAGCCTGGCACTTTGAACTTGGACTTAAAGCCTCCAAATTGTAAGAATAAACTCCTGTTTGTTAAGGCCATCCCATTTGTGGTATATTCCTGTCAGAGTGGCACTAGGTAACTAGAACACTTAATCATAGCAAATCCCAAGGAACTGTCTACATTTGTGACTCTGTCAAGTCAAAAGATGCTTTAAAATAGGCAGGCCCATGAACTGGTGTCTGAGTATCTTGAAGGCACAGTGGAAACAACATCATGACAGTTCTGGTCACATAGAAGGACTACCCTGTCCCCCATAGAGCTGCTGCCCAAGGACTGGCCTCTGAGTCCATGATGTAGCTGGGTCTTTGGGTCCTTTCTTGGTCTATCCAGTCATGCTCCCTTCCCAAGATCATTATCACCTACCTCTGAAAGCAGAGGACCTTGAGCACAGGGCCTGTGAGCTGGCTGTGTTCAAGCCAGGGGCCCCACAGGTATGTCCGGCTCCTGAGGGGCAGTGGCTCTATACCACAGCTGTGTGGGGACCTAAGGGGCATGTGGCCTAGTCCTGCATTCATGAGGAGTCAAATGACTGACTCATGAAGCTACCTAAGCCATGAAAAAAACCCTTCTCACCAGTAGGAGCTGGTGAGCTCCCTTAAATGCTGTAATACTAGACCTTGGTAAAATCTCCCAAAGAGCAGAGCCCACTTGAGAATAAAACCTCTGCCCCCAGATGCCCAGTGCCCCAGTGGGCAGACCAGGACCTTCAGGGTCATTGACCATTATTAGCTGGAAGGGACCCTGAGATGGTGGCCAACTTCCTCATGTTGCATGGGAGGAAACAAACCCAGGCTCTTGTTTTGACCTTTAAAATTTGGCCCAGAGAAATCTTGATTCTTCATTCTAACCACACCCCCAAGTTTCTACTCACTCTCTCGTGACAAAAGAGTTTACTGGAGTACAATAGACACGACAGTTCCTAAATATGCATCCTTCACACCTCAGAGCATAGTGGTCACCTGCTTCTGGAAGGCAGGGGACATTTTTCTGCCACCCTCTCTTCACTTGGACCAAGAACTGCCTGGAAGTAACAGGCAGACATGCCAAATGTGCCCTGGAGAGCCCTCCACTCTCTCAATTCCCTGTTCTTGATGGTGAAGCACCTTTGACTAGTGGTGCAGGGCATACTTAATTGGTGATAATGATACCTAAGTGAGCACCTATTATGGCCAGCCATGTTTCTTATATTATTTTTAACCCTTACAACAACCTGGCCAAAGTATATATTATCCATATTTTACAGATAGGAGCTCTGGAAGCACAAATGGTTAAGTGCTGGGGTGCTAACCAAGAGGTTGGTGGTTTGAACCCACTCAGCAGCAGTGCAGAAGAAAGACCTGGCAATCTACTTCCAAAAGGATATCAGCCAAAAAAAGCCTATGGGCAGTTCCACTCTGTCACATGGAGTCTCTATGAGTCAAAACAACAATATTTTACAGAGGAGGACACAGAGGCTTAGAGTGATTTAGTAATTTCGTTGAAAGTTAATCAGTTAAGTGGCTGAGGTGTACATATTAAATCACATGGCTACTCAGTGGACCCACGGCTGCCTGCCTTTAGAGTCTGTGCTTTTCCTTATACTAAGCTACACTGCCCACAGCATGACTACGGTACTGAGATCCAGAAACCTGCTTACATCCCCAAGGCCTCAGGGCCATGGTCTGGCTACTATCCAGCAGACTTGGGGATCCCTCACTTCCCACAGGGAAGAGATGCCTAGGAGGCAAACAAGAGGCCCTCAGCCACAGCCCTTGACTCAGACGCCATGAGGCATCTAATTGCTGGACCCCATTTTCCCTCTGCATTGCAAAAGCAGGCTGTCATTTCTTCGTGGCAAACCCCAGGAACTGTCTTTAATTCCAGACTCTCAGGGATGGGTGGGAACTGCAGTTCTCTTTCCTAGCCAAGGAGATGGAGCAAGACCATGGGCAGCCTTTGCCAGAGAACATATAATTTCCTTGGATCCACTGGCGACAGGCTGCACTGGGTAGCAGCAACCCCCAATGAGCTTTGATTTCCTCTCTGTTAATCCAAAATCTGTTGTATGACTTAAACTCCTGGCGTCCCAATGTTCCCGCACCCACCCTGCCCTCTCCACTCCCAACTCACCCCCAGAGCCCCTTGCCAACCCTCTAGGCAAGGACCTTCCTGGAAAGATGTCTCCAACAAATTGCCACTCACCATTCTGAGAAACCCCTGACCTCATCTATAAAAACCCTGAATATAAACAACCTAACCCATACACCCCTTTTTAACATCTAAGGTTCACCAAAGAGGGGGATAAAAAAGGAGAGGAAGAGCCTCCCCTTGGGTCTCCTTCACCACTTCCCCCTTTCTCAGCCTCTCTTGCCCCTTGCCCCCACCACCACCCTCGCTGGATGGATTATGCTAACTTCAGCAGGATGATGAATGGGCATTTGAGGAGGGGAAAGAACTTTGCTGAGCAAGGAGAAAACAAATTTGGTGTGTTTGATTTGGTTTGCTGTTTGCCCTCAGGAAATCTGAACTGGGTTCCAGAACACACCACATAGTATGTCATCAAGACAACAGATGGAGTTGTAAACTTCACCAGCTAGGAAACTGGAAGCCAGAGGGGGCCGAAAACAATGCTTGGCTCCACTGGCCAGCTGGCCAGGCCAACTATCCCAGATGTGAGAAGACACATGGGGCCTCAGGTGTGATGACCAGAGGCCTCTAATTCCCCCACAGTCCACTGTTCTCTGGTTCTTTGGTTTAGGAGCTAAATGCTCAGGGATGGCCCTCTAAGTAGACTAAACACATACTCAGTAGCCAGCAAGTCAGGGACACCCAAAAAAGAGCAAAAAAAAAAAAAATTTTTTTTTTTTTTTTAAGAAATATGATATTTCCAAAACCATCAAAGTAATCATCATGGGAAAAGCCAGTAAATGATTGGCTTTCCTTATACTTATTTTATGGTTTGGAACAGTTTTTATTTTGAGTTGCATATTGGGGTGGTACCATAATCATTTCAATGCTTGTTGTCTCTAAAGTCCTAATCAGTCTGCTATCCTGCCTTCAGATCACACGTGCCCGAGATTCCCCCAGCTCATAGCTACTGCCTGCTTGGCACCACTTCGATGAGCGTCTCTATGCAGATGTTCCAAGCCCACATACCCAGCCCTATTTCCTCTCTTACCCCAATTCTTAATGACCAAGGCACAGATGCTACAGAGCAATGCTTCCCAATCTTTTTCACATCATGACACATGGAGAAATCAGCTCAAGGGAACTCGCCGTCCCAGACCCTGCTCAACCACACCTGGCCCAACTGCCTAAAACAGAGGGAACCCCTCAATGGCACATGTGGAACCCACTACCCAGAACCAGTGTGGCACAGCTCTGCTGTCCACTAATGACCCTCGGCAACCAGTTAAAGTAAGCAAATACGCCAAACTAAACCCACTGCCAGTGAGTCAATTCCAACTCACAATGACACTACAGGACAGAGTAGAACTGCCCCCATAGGGTTTCCAAGGCTGTCAACTTTATGGAAAAGGAGCCCTAGTACCAAAGTGGTTAAGTACCCAGTTGCTAAATGAAAGGTCGGTGGTTTGAACTCACCTGCAGAAGATGAGGCAATCTGCTTCCATAAAAATTACAGCCTTAGAAACCCTATGGGGGAGTTCTACTCTGTCCTATAAGGTTGCTATGAGTCAGAATCAACTCAAAGGCAATGAGGTTCCCCCCCGCCCCAATCCTTGTAAGTGCAAAGGATGCTCACAAAGGTGAGATGAAATATGATGAAAAGAATAGGGACTGAGATTCAGGAGACCTAAGTTTGAGTCCCCACTGCAATACTTACTCATTGATCTCTCTGGGCTTCAGAGTTAAGTAGAATGGGGTTAACTTCTGCCCCACCAAATTCATAGGACTATTGCACAGGTGAATTATTATGACTATGAAAGGGCCAGAACCTGAAAACGTCTACGCAAAGGTGAGATGTGGTAATAGGCTGTCTGGAGTGTGATCAGAGGCTATGGAGGCAGAGACTCACCTCTGTGTGAGTATAGGCAGCCGCTGCATCCCTCTGCAGGGCTGACCGGATATCTGGCATGCTATCTAGGATGTTGGTGGAGCAGTTCTCTTTGCCTTGCTTGTTCATCTCAGTCCGAATTTCTTCCATGTCCTCTTTGATTTGCTCGTTTTCCTTGGTGAGGTTTTTAGAAACTTCCTGAGAAAAGAAAACATTTAAAATAAAGATCTATTAAAGTGCTTTAGGATTGGCAGGAGGCAGCTGTCAGCCATGCTCAGAGCATAGAGATGTGACAGGCAGGCTGAGATGTTAGTCATCATGTTATGGGGGCCCCAGAGTATGACCAGCTCTGTGCTCAGGACTGGGAATAGGCACCCAAGCTACATTTTTTGGACAACCCTTAGAAATCCAATCTCTAGAAATACTGCCCAATACCATCTTCCAACCAACCATGCCTTGGACATGACTCTGACTCATGGCAACCCCAGGTGTGTCAGCATAAAACTGTGCTATGCTCTGTAGAGGAGGTCTGGTAGCATAGTGCCTAAGGCACTTGACTGCTTACCAGAAGGCTGGCGGTTCAAACCCACCAGCCACTCCTTGGAAGAAAGGTTGGGCAATCCTACTTCTGTAGTGATACTGCCTCGAAAACCCAGGGAGGGGTCACTATGAGTCGGGTCTGACTTGACAGCACATAACAATAATGCTCTGTAGGGTTTTCAATGACTTTTTCTTTTTCTTTTCTTTTCTAATTGTGATTTGGGTGAAAGTTTACAGAGCAAATTTGTTTTCCATTCAACAGTTCATACACATTTTGTTTCCTGATACTGCTGCAAGCCCCACAATGTAACAGCTCTCTTTCCACTTCCTTCCTGTGGTTACCTTTTCCCTGTGTCTGTCTTTCCTATGTATTCCTGCCTTCTGAGCTTTCTCTCTGCACAAGTGCTGCCCTTCTTATCTCCTATGGTTGATTTTTGTAAGGAATGTACCTCCCTGGTATAATTGTTCACTTTGAAGACCTATTTGGCTGAGACTCAAGTTATGAAAGTTAGTTCAATTCCAGGCCCAAAAGGTGAGTAGAGACCATGGTCTCAGGGTTTTTACCAGTCTCTATCAGACTAGTAAGGCTGATCTATTTTATGATTTTGACTTTTGTTCCACATTTTTCTCCCACTCTATCCAGGATCTTCAATTTGATCCCTTTCTGAGTGGTTGTTGGTTCTTCTGGTCTTAGGGTTGTGTAGCCTGAGGTTCCCATGGTTCACTAGTCACTTAGACTAACTGTTTCCATGCATCTTTGATTTTCTTCACTCTTCTTTGCTCCAGATAAAGAGAGACCAAATGTCACATCTTATATAGCTGCTTGCTCTGGTAGCATAGTGCCTAAGGCATTGACTGCTAACCAGAAGGCTGGCGGTTCAAACCCACCAGCTGCTCCTTGGAAGGAAGGTTGGGCAATCTACTTCTGTAGACACACCACCTCGGAAAACCAAGGAGGGGTCACTATGAGTCGGGTCCGACTCAACAGCACATAACAACAACAACAACATATAGCTGCTTGCAAGCTTTAAGACCCCAGTCACTACTCACTAAAGTAGGATGTAGAACAATTTAAAAAAAAAATATATTGTGATTTGGGTGAAAGTTTACAGAGAAAATTCACTTTCCATACAGCAGTTCACATACACTTAGTCTCATGACATTGACTACAATTTATCCCAATACAACAGCTCCGCTCCCACTTCTTCCCTACAGTAACCTCTTCCCAGTGTCCATCCCTCCATGCACTCTTGCCCCCTGAGCTGTCTCCCTGTGCATAAGCAGCCCTTTTTTCTCCCTTGATTGTTCTTTCCAAGGAGTGTATCTATAGAACAATGTTTTTATGTAGTATATTATGCCAAGTGAGCTTGATGTTTCCCATGACTATGGTCCCAAGCCCATGGGCTCAGTTACTTGCTTCCCCAAGGTGTTTGGCTATGGCTAAGAAGTTATCCTAACTTTGTCCCCTGTTAGCTCTGTTATATATATGGACATTCTTATAGCACATAAACATACATATACAGAAATATCATCTGCCAAATCTATATATGGAATGGCTGTTTTTTTTAGAAGTAGATCACCAGGCATTCCTTCTGAGGTGCCTCTGAGTGGACTCAATCCTCCCACCTTTTGGTTAGCAGCTCAGTGTGTTAATCTTTTGCATCACCCATGGACTATAGGACACCTAGCTCTTTTTCTGTCATTTGTGCACAGGCTGCCTTTATTAAGTGATTAAGTACTTTACAAAAAATCCATCCACTGGCACCCCATACACATGAAGTAGTTCAATTAATGAAAGAAGGATTTTCCAAGCAATTTTAGAAGAGGCTGCCAAAGAAATCTACTTAACCCACATTTCTAGTGAGCACAGTCTATTCCCCAGCACTGTAAGACCATCATTTACATAAAAAAAAATTGATAAGCTGGCTTCAAACTTTCCTATCTACCTATAAATGTACAGAGAACAAAGTTTATTACTGGTTACCAGGGGCAGGAGGAAGGGGAAAAGGAGAGGTTAATGGTGATGGAAGTAGTGTGTTGATTAAGGGTTGGGTTGCTATCAATAAGCTGTAATTAGGGTTGTTGTCAAAAAGTTGTATTGGCAAACACTGTGTGACAGATACATTTACAACAACAACAAAGAATAGCTGCTGAGGTTGCCTGTGTATAACCAAAAACCTCATGAGACTTGGTTTCTTAGTTTGGAAGTTTAGGGTCACTGTTTCATGGCACGTCCTGTTAGTTGGCCCAATAATGGTGTTAGTGCTTTGCTTTACCTCCTACAATTTGCGAGCAACCATCTAAGGCACATCAGTTGGTTTCTATTCACCTGGAACAACAGAGGAAAAAGGAGAGGATATGGAAAATGTGGCTAATTGCCTCCAGGAACAATTGCCATCTTTACCATGAGACCAGAAGAACTGATGGTACCCAGCTTTGATCAAAGATTCCATAGAAGAATCCTGATCAAAAGGGAGAAAATCTAGAACAGAAATTCAAATCCTCATGGACTCCAGATTTCCTGAAACATGGAGGCTGGATGAACCCCTAAACTATTGCCCTAAGATAATCTTTAAACCTTAAACCACAACATGTCCCCTGATATCTTCTTAAAACCAAACAGCAGGTTAGCTTCGTTAGTTAAAAAAGTCTGTCTTAAGTATTACGCTCTTTTAAGAACTATTTATATGGATCAAATTGACAGCTACAAATTGAGAGATTATGTATGAACCTTAGGCAGCAGTGAATTTATATTAATAAGAGAGGGACAACTCAGAAAAGGAGGGTAAGAATAGTTACACAACTCAAAGAATGTAATCAATGTCACTAAATGGTACACATAGAAACTGTTGAATTGGTGTATGTTCTGTTGTAAATACTCTCAACAACAACAAAATAAATAAAATTATTAAAAAAAAAAAAAAGTTTCCCCACATAACCCCCACTTAGCAAACTAGCTATGTTCCAGATCTAGTTTATATCAGAAAAGACCAGAGCCACGTTTCAGTCAACCAACACTGCTAAGTACCTCCTATTTCTAAGTTGTGGTGTGGCAGAAAGGAAGGCTCTAACTACACCTAAGGTTCTTGTCCTGAGGAGGGATTGCTAACAAATGTAACTGCGAGAAAGGAAGTACAATGCAGGAAAAGATGACCAATCACACCAGGTTCTGTAAGTGCCAAGTGTGAGGCTTAGCAAGTGTGTTCAGGAGTAAATTCAGGGAGGAAGTTAAGAGAATGTGCTATGGGCTAGGAGGAACGGAGATATTTCTGTGAATGCTGAGTGGGTTTTCAATCAGGGGAAGATTGTGTACAGTCTTAGAGATGCCCTTCCTCGTATAGTAACTTTTGGAGAAGTTTAACTATACTGAGATTCAACACTGTCCAACCTTTCCCCCATCTCTTGGGTTTCCACGAGCATCTACATCTTTAAATGTGATTTTCCTCTGTGGGTTCTGTTTATGAGGTTGGTCAAGGAAGCACCACTGTAAAATAGAGGAAGTATTTGCCTTCCATTTTCCTTGAACAAAACAGACATGGGAAATGTAAAAGCTCAGACAGTGCCAGGCACAGCCCTGCAGCCTGGTGAGATGTTACCAGTGTCCAAAAGGGAAGCCAAGGGGGCTCTGAGCCACGGGGATGTGTAAGTATCCAGGATGACCTTGACAGCCAGACACTGTGGCTCTGGTGGCTGCTACAGGAGCCGCACAGAAGAACCCTCTCGGTGCCTGTTAAAACGAACCAGTCTCCAGAGCCACTGGCCATGCCATCCTGATGGCATTTCATTGCATGCCAGATTCTGCACTGTGAGGGCTCAATGCAATCCATGGGGCCTAGGCCAAGCCAGCCTTTCTAAATTGCACAGAATTAACTGTGAGAGATAAAGGTCATGAGAAAGACGTCTTATTTCAAGAATATCCAGAATGAGTGGTCTTACTGGGTCATTCCTGATAGGTGCTATCAAAACAAACCTACTGCCATCAAGTCAATTCTGACTCATAGCAACCCCCGTTGGATTTCCAAGGTGGCAAATTTTTTACAGAAGTAGACTGCCCCATCTACCTACTGTGGTGTGGCTGGTGGGGCTGAACCACCAACTTTCTGGTTAGCAGTCAAATGCTTTAGGCACTGCGCCACTAGAGCTCCTTGATATCAAGGAGCCATCAAATGTAATGGTTAAAAAAACCAAACTCACTGCCATCAAGTCATTTCCAGCTCATGTTGTTGTTGTTGTTAAGTGCCATCGAGTCGTTTCTGAGTCATAGTGACCCCATGCACAGCAGAATGAAACACTGCCTGATCCTGCGCCAGCTCCACGATCCTTGCTATACTTGACCCCGTTGTTGCAGCCACCATGTCAATCCATCTCATCGAAGGTCTTCCCCTCCTTCATCGACCCTTCACCTTACCAAGCATGATATCCTTCTCCAGAAAATGGTCCCCTCTGACAACGTGACCAAAGTAGGTGAGACGAAGTCTGGCCATCCTCGCTTCCAAGGAGCATCTCGGCTGCACTTCCTCCAGTATAGATCTGTTAGTTCTTTTGGCAGTCCATAATACCTTCAGCATTCTTCACCAGCACCACAACTCAAAAGCATCAATTCTTCTTTGGTCTTCCTTATTCATTGTCCAGCTCTCACATGCACAGGAGGCAACTGG